CGTAACCGTAACGTACGTAACCCGAACCGACCGACGAACGAGACGAGAGAGAGAGAGAGAGAGAGAGAGAGAGAGAGAGAGAGAGAGAGAGAAGAGAGAGAGAGAGAGTGAGTGAGTGAATGAGTGTGTGTTTTTTATAAACCAAAGGTAAGTTTCAAACCTTCGGTGCGTCCTTGGGATCTGGATGTTTGCTCTTGTTGTTTGGCAACAGATGCTATTATCTGTTCTTCAGTAACCTTCAAATATTCTTCGCTTGAATACGGTCTCTGGGCAGTAGGAGAGACACCTGCATGAAGATAAACCCTCTCAGAGAAGTAAGAGAAACTTCAGAATAGATTTGAAGTTTTGAACGAAAGGAACTATGCATGGAAAAAGCAATCTTTGCAGAAAGGGAATCACACATAATGCAATCACATGATCTTGACAAACACGTTCTCCAAGGGAACAACTCTAATATTTGGGCATCCATATCCCCTAAGAAAAGATCTACAATAAATACATCATACTGCTATCATGTCAAAGAAGTTTTTCGTCATGGTTTCCAATGTCCTTTTCCTTTCTCTCATGATTTTGAATTAAATAAGGTAATGATGAGCCCATCTCTCCAACGTCAACCATTGGTGCTTGAAAGAATACTAAAATGTTCATCTAATATCGCAATAATTGTACGGGAGTCATCCTCGGAGGGACTTCCCGAACGACCGTACTGGGGAATTCTACCGTACTCCATGCAGCTATGGTTGTTGATCATGCAGAGCCTACCCCAAGGTTCAGGCCGGAGTGTAGGAAGTGGGTGATACATATTTGTATTTCTATGAGAAGCTCTATGGCACCCACGATTCCCAGTAGTGAGTCGTCGGCATATCGTGCGTAACAAATCCTAAGTTAAGTATGGATAAACCTTTTCCTGAACTGTCTCTTTCTTTATATTCCCTGAGCATATATACATGCTCAATGTGAGTTCCAAAGTTGTTGCTCTGCCAAGTGCTGTAGGAATGAAGGGGCCTAGCTCCAAAGGAGAGTGACATGAGATGGGCATAAAAAATATGGGGCACACAGGTTTTCAAGGGAACTGAGGTCTCCTAGTTCAAAATGTATAAGGTAGAATTCAATGTTAAGTAATAGGAATCGGCTAGATATGATAAGGGCAGAAATCGGGGTTATGCTTAGAGGTATCAAGGGCGTTAAAAATGCATGAAAGTTGCAGATCCAGTGAGGATAATTGATGTATAAGGAATGCGACAAGATTAGGGCTTATTTAGGATTGATGGGATTTGGGGTATGTGTGATGAGTTTTGGAAGGAGGTGGCTATGTTATTAGGTTTAGCAATGGTTGATTTGATGTGGTAGAAATAGGGTGATTTAGCAATAGATGAGAAAGCCATGAAGGAGAGAAGATGAGCCTACTTGGTTTGGGACAATTTTAAAGTAGGTGGATAAAGAGGAGGGACATGCAACACCAAAAAAGGATGAAGAATGCCCAAGCTTCGTGGGAGGCTCTCCAAACAAAAGTTTAGGGTTTTGGGTTAATAACTCCTCTAGAAGAAAGATGAGAATTCCCCTCCAAAAGTGGTCTCTCACCATGATAGACTGCATACTCAAATTTTCTCTCTCCATTTCAACTGATGCTTCCAGTAGACATTTACAATGAAGCCTGACCCATCCAAATTAGGAAAATCATCGAAACAGAAGTTGAAGATCTGGGAGAGATCTTTGATTTCAGCTTCAGACCACCCCAAACAAACACCTAGGTGAAAGTTTATGCCTTCGCAAAAGTCATCTGTATCATTTTCCCCTAGTTGGAGAAAACTTGTCATCTAGTTTTGAAGTGAGCATTCATGAGTCCCAGCTTGAATCCTTTGTTTTCTTCAATCTTATCCAGAGTTGTGCTCCAAATTTAGATGATACACACATTGATTTGAAAAGTACAATGATTCTATTGTTAACAGCTCAAGAAAAGGATCAGTTTATATTGATGGAGGACCAATGGGGTTTGTCTTCTACATGAGTGAGAGTGACACAAGGTGGTCTTAGAAAACAATTGGACAGAAGGGTTTCAGGTGTACCAAGAGGTCTCCTAGTTTGAATAGGATTGGGTAATTTAAGGTCTAAACAGGGTATTATCGAAGGTAAGGTGATAGTGAATGGTTATATATGATTAGGGCAACAATTACAAATAGGTTTTGAGGGTGATAAGACAGTTGGGGTTGAAGTTGCAGGAAAATTGCAGGTCCAGCACGGACAATTGATGCATTTGAAGGAAATGAGGTAAGATCAGGGCTAATTTAGGGTTGGTCGGCTGAGGGGTTTGGAAAGGAGGTTTCCCATGTTGTTAGGGCTGATAGGGTAGAAATAGGATATCGAATTTCGTAATAGATGCATAGATGGAAAAAGATGAAAGTAAGAAGAGGGGCTATATATTTGGAGCGATTAGCAGGAAGAAGATAAATGAAGAGAAGGGGTGTCCCACAACACAGAGGGATCACAAATGCCCAACCTTCTATAGAGATAGAAGTTGAAGATCTTGGAGAGATTCGATATAAGCTATGGACCACCTCAAATGGACATCTAGGTGAAACCTTATGCCCCTTCAAAGTGGTCTGCGTCATTTTCCCCTGGTTTGAGAGAACACGTCGTTATGTTTTGAAGTGAGCATTACTGGGTCCCAGCCTGAATCCTTTATTTTTTTTCAGTTCTTTTGAGAGTTATGCTCAATATCTAGATGTACCTCAGTTAATAAACATATTGATTCTCTTGTTATCACCTCAAGAAAATGAATAATGCACATTGATGGAAGACAAAGAAGGCTTAACTCCTACAAAAGTGTGACATGTCAGGTAGTCTTAAAATAATATGTTTGGGCGTACCCATTTTTCTTCTCCTACACAAGTGTGACATGCCAGGTAGTCTTAAAACTCCTAATTAAAATAATTTTTTAATATTTAAAAGATTCCACTAAAATAAATTTTAACAAAAAAAAAATGTCATATAAATAAAAGAAAGAGGTTATGCCACCCAAGAGAGATTAAGTGGTCCCCACAATGGCCCACATCCCACCCATGGGTGGCACACATGTGGGGTTGCATCCTAGGCCCCACATGTGCCCTTCCAAATTTCAAAAATTACAAGAAAGCCAATTTGAAGGATTTTACAGCATAGATAAATTTTTAAAATTTGGAAAAAAATGTTCAAAAAATCATAAAAATATTTCTAATATATAAATAAAATATTTTAAAAGTGGACTGGTTCCAATGGGTCAAAATTAGCGACAATAAGGGCACTCCACTTGACTCAAAAACCATGATCCACTATTGTTTTCTTATCCAACCCAACAAAAGACCCATGACCCACAGTCTCAATGCAGGAGCTCATGATGGCTTGTCAAAATTGGACAATAAATAATGAGACCATGATCCTAGAATATGGATTCAGTTCCCCCCTTTAAGAGCAAGTCTAGGGCTTGTCACCATAATGCAAAGCGGGATCTCTCTATTCACATGTACATGTGTCCTTCTATAGGGCTACTTCCTAATAATGCGGTTGTCATGCCTACATGTCATGCAAAAGGTTGTAAAGGCTTTGGTCCTTGCTCTCACAAGCTTATAACCACACACAGGAAACTACACAGTTCTTCTGAACTACATACATCATCTCTAGGCATCTCTTTGACCTCAACAAGAGATAACCCACTGTAAACCCTTCTCGATAGTGCCACATGCCCATGACAATTAAGAGGAAGAAGATAGATGGGAAGGGGCATGCCACAATAAAGAGGGATGAAGAATGCCCAAGGCTCATGGTAGGCTCTCCAAACAAGATGCTAGGTTTTTGGTGGAATAACTCCTTCAAAAGAATGATGAGGAATATCTCCTCTAAGAGTGGTATCTCACCACAATTGAATGATTCATTCAGATTTTATTACTCAATTTCAACTGATTTTTCCAGCTCTAGCCATGATTTGAAGCCTGAAAAATCCACAAAATGGAAATCATAGAAATAGAAATTGTAGGGGAGAGAGATTCAATTTGAGCTTTGCACCACCCCAAACGGACATTCAAGGGAAACGTTATGCATCCAGAAAGTGGTCATCATCACCTAGCATGCCATAGCCTGATGCGTGTACCACACACAACAGACCCCTACACAAACAGCTGTGCGCGGGCACACACATGCATGCATGCATATTTAAATAAAAACATGAATATATAAATACATATAGTTAGAGACAGTTGATGAGCATATCCATATGAATGATTAAATTCCTCTATCCAAGTGAGGGTGGTACCCCAAAAAGGACTTTCATAGCTTGGGAGGTTGGAGACAGTTGAATTGTTTGGTGTTGTCCCATCACAAGTCTGCAGCTGGAGTTTATCTTAAGATGTTAAAAGATGGTATTGAGGTAAATAAGCCCAAAAAAGAGCTTGGTGTTGTTAGGTGGCATTGAAGCAAGTAATCGACTCAAGAAGAGCTAGGTGATGAGTCTGCAACTAGGTATATTGTAAATCATTGTACTTTGATGGGGATTAAATATTGACCACTGTCAAATACTTAGGAATGCTACTTTGGGTAGGTAAATGAGGAAATTGCTGCAAGGGTCCATGGTGCAGCAGGTTTATTAAAACTTGCCAGGTGGAAGTGGTGACATCTTTCTAATTTGAGTGTGGGCTAATATGCAGACTTAATGTATTTCATGTCAACGTTTCAAAATAATTGCAATAATAGATAAGTTGGAGAGGCCTCAGTGGTACTCCCTCTTGGGGTTAGAGGGGAGGGCTCATAGTTTCATTTGGTTAGATGGGAGGTCTGGTGCAAAAAAAAGCAGTTCAAAGCTTGAAAGAGGTTTTGTGTTGCGGAATGTTTTGAGAGTAGGAGCTGGTGGTATGCTGTCCAGGATTGAGGAACTTGAGGGCTGATTGTTGAGTAGACCAGCCTTCTTGTGGATTCACTAAAGCACTCTATTCCAGTACAACATTAGTTAGTTTTGAATCAAAATCAGAGCAAAGAAACAGAAAACCAGTTCTTTATTCCAAGATAATAACATACTTACAAAAAGTAATACCAAAAAAAAAAGTGCGTATACATAACAAACAGCAAATATAATTCACAACGGAAAACTCAAAACCAAAAGCAAACAGGTGGATTCACATACGGGCATAGGTAAAACCATAAATTAAAGAGAAGAACAAATCCTAGATCAGGGATTCGATAGACATCGCAGAAAAGAAGTACCGTTAACGAAGAGGTCGGTTGTGGAAAGCAGGAGTTTGCCCTAGCTTCAGTAAACCG